ATTTTAGCCCGAGATTATTAAAGAATAAACTTAGGCTTTTTTTTTCTTAAATTATTTAAAAAAAATAAATATGTAAATTATCGTGAATTAATTTTATTAACATTTTAATCTAAAAAAATTTAAATTCCGATAAATATTTTCACTCGGTTCGATGGAGCCCACACCGATTTCTGGGCTAAATTCTGGGGGGAATCTGACCTTGGTTTAGCATTTAGCCCAAATTTTCCCCTTGGGTTGGAGTGAGTTTGGGGGGTAATTTGGCTTTTAGCCCACCATTGGAGATGGTCTTAGGGGGAAATAAAACCTAAAAAATAGTATTTAGCCAGAGTTGGGTTTGAACTTAGACCAACTCTAATGGTGGGCTAAAAGCCAAATTACCCCCCAAAATTTTTCCCCAAACCCACTCCAACCCAAGGGGAAAATTTGGGCTAAATGTTAAACCAAGGCCAGATTCCCCTTAAAATTTAGTCCAGAAATCGGAATTTAAATTTTTTTAGATTAAAATATTCATAAAATTAATTTACTATAGTCTACATATTTATTTAAAAAAAAATTAATTTAACAAAAGAAAAAGCATAAGTTCATTCTTTAATAATCCCAGACTAAAATTTTAGGCTATAACGGTTTGAGCAAAAAAACTGTTTCTGAGCTAAAAACTAAATTTTCCGGACTAAAATATTTGACTTTTAGCCCAACCATTGAAGATGGTCTTAGGGGGAAATAAAACCTAAAAAATAGCATTTAGCCTAGATTTGGGTTTGGTCTAAGACCAAACTCAACCCCTGGGCTATTTGGAATCAAGAAAACTTTCCCTAAGGATTAAGGCAAAAATGAAACAAAACGATTTACGCTAAATCCTTCGACAGGGAATAGATACATGATAGATTGGTAGGGAGAATGAAAAAACATGAAGCAAAATACGTTTATAAATTGAAAAATGGTAGGGAAAATCACAAACCATATCCTGTCCAAATTTGCAATACCCTCAAAAATCCATGTAACCATACTTATTTTAATGAACAACAGATGGATATATAAGTTCCCTCCATTAACATGTAACAAGTCACTAGTTTTTTCTCTTAATTCTCCATGCGGATGACGCACCGGATGGACTGTCCAGAAAGCATCAAGTCGAATGCTTTGTTGATGTCAGCGAATGAGACCGAGTGAGTGATAAATTTATCCAGTTCCAGCTCCTGCAACGATCAACACAAGGCGAGTCTTACCGCATTGTTGTGTGGTTTCACAAAATTGGTTTCGGAAATAGAAAGGGAAATATGAACTACCTTGTTCATGTACTTCTCGACAACACCTGGTAGATCGGTGCGGGGCTTGTAGTTACCATAGAAGGTACCCTTAAGAGTCCTCTCATTCAGGAAATTCATTGGATGGGTTTTGAATGCATCATCTTTGTTTGGCACACCAACCAGTACCGCAAGACCCCAACCCTAAATTTAGAACGAGAAGAAATAAAGAAAAGCCCGATTTAGATTTGAATAGCAATGTTATTCTAGCATTATATCCAATTAAACAGCAAATGAGGCTTATAATTACTTACATCATGAACACATTCAAATGCAGAAATCATCGCCTGAATGCTTCCGGTGCACTCAACGCTCCTATCAACTCCACCATTGGTCATCTCAGCAATCACCTTTTAATCAAAGCCAAACGTCAGTCGCTGCTGATAGCCGATAATTATTAACACTATATGGAAGTACTAAAAAAGAAGAGAAGGACCAAATGGGGTTGGCTCTAAGTGATCAGACACAAACATAAAATTAAATTGATTTATGTAACTAACCTCTTGCACTGGTTTGTTATGATCTTTCGGATTCACAAATTCATTCACGCCAAACTTCTTGGCTGCCATAAAGTATAGGAACCATTAGAAATTATTTAGTGAATGACATCTCAACCAGACATGAAGAGCTAAGTCCTTATTCGTTAAATAGATGTATGATCGAATTGACCGACCTTCTTCAAAGCGATTGGGATTCAAATCAACACCGATGATCCTTGAACAGCCCGAAATCCTTGCACCTTCGGCGGCCTAAAAGAGTAACAAGATGAACAAAAAATCATTATGATACCCCAAACTATCTAAAAGAGCCATAATAGAGGAGAAATAAGAATGACTTACAGCAAGACCAACAGCTCCCAATCCAAATATGGCAATAGATGAACCCTTTTTCGGTTTTGCAACATTCACAGTGGCACCAAAACCTTCAAATACACCAACGAAAAACAATAATTGATTACTCTAGAAAGAAAATTGAAAAACCATTAATTTCTAATTGTAAGTTTCTAACTGTTAAAATGTGAGAAGTCTTTCGAACCTGTGCATATTCCGCAACTAAGAACGCAAACTTTGTCAAGGGGAGCAGCCGGGTTGACCTTAGCAACGGAGCCAACATGACAAACGGTGTACTCACTGAAGGTGGAGGTACCAACAAAGTGATAAATTGGCTTTCCATCCTTGGAGAACCTGGACTGGCCATCATTCAGCATAGTACCCCTATCAGTGTTGATCCTCAGCAGATCACACATGTTGCTTTCCTCCGACTTACAGTGCGTGCACTCCTTGCACTCCCCGGTGAACACAGGGAGGACATGGTCACCCGGCTGGAGTTCAGTTACACCCTCGCCTACGCTTTCCACAACTCTAAACACAAAATGACAAGCAAACAAAATTTAGAAACGTAAACACACTGCGTAAAATGGAAGCAAATACGTAGTTAACTACAAATTATGTAGTTTTAATATTCAGAGATCATCTACATACCCTCCAGCTTCATGACCAAAAATGCGAGGAAACAGTGGTTGTTGTCCCTGTGACATAGCATATATGTTTCAGTTTCAACAGCTCGCATTCTCAGCACGAAAATGCCGTGTATAGGATTTATCATCGCATTAGATTTAGCACTCAAAATGCAGTGAAAAATTATGGTTAGAAAACAAACAACTTGACTAATCAATTGCAAGTTATGGACAAAGCATTATAATTTATAAACATGTGAAATGTCATGCTTAATATTAAAGTAGACATGGCATTTTAAGCTGAAATTTTTACTTTGGCTTCCCAGAAGTAGACATCGGTGTGGCAAAGAGCGGTGAAGAGGATCTTCAAGCGAACTTCATGTTTCTGCGGTGGTGCCACCTCCACTTCCTCAATTGACAGCGGCTTCCCCGCTTCCCATGCCACCGCGGCTGCAACCGACAAGTCAATTTCTTTTCAATCAATTTTCGAAAATTTCAAAAAACTTTATTACCTTCATATGAAATCCACGAAAACCAAATCAAAATAAATCCTCCTCACCCTCATCCTCATCCTCAACATCATATAGAATAATAAACAATATTTAAAAGAAAATAGAAAATCCCGAGCATCTTTATATTAAAAGAAAAGAAAAAGAAAACAGCACTAGGATCATGCAAAAGGACAAAAGAAAGAGAATTGATCACTCCAAAGGCAAAGGTATAAGCAACTATTATTCATGACCCTCACTTAAACTATAATATGAAGGAAATTCATTGTTTCAACCAAATATTAGAGAGAGAGAATCCAACAATGGCTGTGTCAAAAATTAAACAAATAAATAAAAATTGATTATCCAAAAAAAAGATGAGCTGGCATATTCCAAAGTCCAAAGTCCAAAGTCCGATCATCAGAAAAGAGAATCTAAGTCTAACAAAAGTGATCAACAAGAAACATGATCATGCATGCCCGGAGCTCGTGGTGAACATGACAATCTATCAAAGCGGTAAATCAATCGATCAAATCATTGATACAGAACGCCACCATAACTTTGACCAAAGGAGAGAGGGAATGGTTGGTGCGCTCACCTTTGCACTTGATAACCTGACCGGCCGTTGACATTCTGGAATGAGCTTCTTTTGTCTTGTGATGTTTACTGTATTTTTGTATTTTTTGATGAGCAGTGTGATTGATGTTGTTCAAAAAACAGTGCTTTTGGTTGTGGAAAGAGGAGCAAGCGAATGGCAGGTATTTATAGTGGTGAAAAATAAGACAAAACCGCTCAAGAAAAGTGGAAAACCAAATGTACGAAAATACCATTTTCCGCCAAAAGCTTATTACTTGCAAGTTGCTGCCCAGACAAAATTCTCCGTGATTAATTCTGTGTGCGTGTCAATAAAAATACCAAAACCAAAACCACTTTTGATTTTTTTTTTCTTCTTATTTAGTCGGACTCGGAACCACTTTTGGAATGAAAAGCGGGAATTGCTTGTTTTTGCGCAACTGTAGTTTTGCATAAACAAAACCGCCAATGGATTTGGGAAAACGACTGTTTCTGCTTTTGGTTCCAGCGGCGCCCTTGTTTCCGTCGGATTTGCCACGTAGCTTTCAATTTGGCGGTTTATTCTTCTTGTCGTAGGAACGTGGCATAGTGGTCTTGTTCTTACGGGATCCGGATCCCCTCCGAATTCAAAAAATTTGAAACTAAGGATAAAATGATTCGGGTATTAAACTTTGTATTACAAATAAGAAGCTCTCTAAAAATTATAATAATTATAGTAGTTGGATCAAATTTCAACGGTCCAAATAATGCTTAAATTTTTTGAATCCAGAGAAGATCCAGTTCTAGACGCCAAATCAACAATTTAGTATTTAGTATTTATTATAATCTACGCGTGCTCAAAATCGATGATATGAGCTGTAGCATAATAAAAATAATAAAAATATGCAAATTTTGTTTATTTATTTTATTGGCACGAAATATTACATAACAGGATATTCGTATTATACAAATTATAGACCAAACAGTTTCCAAATGTAGTTAGTTTTGGCATGATAATCGACCAACCAAGATGTTTTAATATTTTTTGGTGAACACCAAAATATTGTAATTACTAGTGTCAAGTGTATTTTAACACGTACAAGAGTTCAATGGGTTTTGGCTTCACAATGTGTACAATAAGCCCAAAATAATAATAAATAAAAAAGAGATTATTTAAAAGAAAACATTGTCAATCCAAATACTAAACGCGGGACAAGATGTGGAAAATATTCATCAGTTTCTTGGTCCATCATCCCCCAGGGTCTCTAACACGACTCTCTCTCGTCTCCTCCCACCCACATACTCTATGTCACTCGTCTTCTCCTCCTCGACCTCGACGGCATCAAACTCAGAACCGCCGCCGTCGCACCACCCATTTCTCGATTCTCCTCCTCAACGACATCCCTAACTCAGAGAACCCAGGTCCCAGAACCACGACGAACGCACTCGCACCTGCGCCGCCCTCGAGCTCTCACTGAAGTCGCTCAAATCTCGCAATTTGTTGCTTCGCGCGTCCGTCGGCGTTTGCTCTTCTTCACCTCTTGTAAGTCCTCCGCTGCCGCCTTCTTCTTCTCCTCTTTCTGCTGCTTCAAATTTCAGTACTCCACCGACCTCTGACCTTACCACCTCCCAGACTCCTACTTCTCTTCTTCTCGGCATCTAATTTCAGTTTTATTCTGAATTCGAATTTGGGGATTTAGGAATTAGGGATTCAGTTTTATTTTATTTTTTGATGAATTCGAAATTGTATTTGAAGATGTTTTTATTTTATTAATTTGTTCTATTTGGGGATTTAGGTTGGGGCGTGAGAAATGCTTGAAAAATGGTGGATTTTTTTCTGGGAAGCAGATTGTGTGCATATGTATATACCTTATCGAATTGCAGAAAAGCTTGACGGGTTTTGGGGAAATTGCAGAAAAGCTTTACACGGGACCCGTAGGATCCGTAAACGGGCCGAGTTAGGTCCGGTTTCAGTTTTGAAAATATGACGATTCCCCCGCCCCGTGCCCAGGAGCCGGATGAATTACCTTAATTGTTATGGGTTTTTCGCGGCTTTAATTTCCACATTAAAATATTTTCCACTATCCAACAGAAAATCCTCCATCTTGGGTTTTTGGTACTAAGATTTGTGTTTTTCCCCCAATTTTAACGCTTTTTGGTCAGTTTCGTAGGAACAAAGAGTTTCGATCGAAAGCAATGGATCTCACTCCGTTCAAGCGGGACGTTGACGAGCTGATAGATGAATTTGCTAAGGTAAAGCTTCCTTTTTTTTTTCTTTCATCTTATGTTTTCTGTTGTTGATTTATTTGTGGGTTATCTGCAAATTGTTGCATGGAGTTTGTTTCGGGGTTTGTTCATTGATTTTTTGTTGTTGGTGAATGTGGGCTTTGGGTAATTGGCAGGCTGAATCAACGAGTTTGGCTGATATGAAGAGGATATGGCTTTCCAAAAAGTTTTCTTACATTTACGAGGCGCGGCCTTCTACCAACTTGGCCTTCTTCATGCAGTCATTGTATGCGCATTTGATCGGTAGGCTCTTGCCCCTTTTAATCTGGTTTACTAGTTGATTAAACTTGTGGATAACTTTATTTTGTTGCTGGAATGTTGTAAATGCAAGCTTATTATTCTGGTAGAAAGTTGTTTTGGTGACTATAGCAGTGCTGCTAGTCACGGCAAATGTTGTGCTTGCGGCTGAAGAAAATCTGGAGATAGAACCCCAAATTGAGGAAATGCTTAAGGTAGGAAGCCCAGGTAGGCCTGGCATTTTGGACCCAACCCGTTAACCCGACCCGACCCGTTAATATTTGTATTTGGGTGGATGCTTAACGGGTCGGGTCGCTAACGGAATCCGTTAACAACCCATTAAATAACGGGTCACTTTGGGTCAACCTGTTAGACCCGTTAGGACCCGTTAGTTGAGGATATTTTAGTAATTTTAGTAAAGTCTTCATAACAAAAAATAAATTTTATGCAAAAAAAAAAAAAAAAAATTGTTAACGGGTGATAACGGGTGAAACGGGTGACCTGTTAGCTTAACGGGTCGGGTTCGGGTGACCCGTTAACTTAACGGGTCGGGTTGAACCCGACCCAAACCCAATAAACCCGACCCGTTTACAGGTCTAAGCCCAGGGTGAACCAGTAAGGTTTTTAAGTTATGAAAGCTAACCTTTCAGCAGTGAGTTTTTCATTTTGGTCTTCTGAGTATCAAAACTATTTATTTCAAGTAGAGGTGGTATCTTTGCTCAACCGACCCCACTTCGTGGAATAAAGCTTTGTTGTTGTTTGTAGTGGTGGTATTTTTGCTGCAAATCGTGCATTGAATCAATTACCCATCTCTTCCATTAATCGGTTTTTTTAGTTTTTGGAATATGTCTTAACCAGTACCTAATTATCTAATTCTTTCCCATAGACTTAAAAACTTTAATATATAAATAGAAGAATTCAGTTAGTGGACATATTTTAGCATTTGGTATTCCAGCTTGTTGAATGTCTAGTTCAATTTTTAGTGCACGGTTTGGCAATTATGTGTTTTATGTTCCAGCCTTGCTAATCTTTTTCCCCCTTTTCATATAATTTTTCTGTGGGGTGCTTCATGTTACCAAACACGTGCAAGTTAAATCCCACTATTTTAGTCAAATAAGAATTTCCTTACGATGTGATACTCGTATTTTCCAGTTCCATGTGCAACTTTTAGTCCACAATTTCTGAGTTTCATAAGTATGAACTCTGTGTTTCAGTCTTGAGAATCCTTTCTTCCCTTTTAACATGAGCTATCAATGAGTTTCATATGCCATATTTCATATTGTCTCACATGAGACACCACAGATCTTGTTTGAATACTGGTGAATTCGAACTTCCATTATGGGGTTTTGCATTATCTGTTATTTTATTGCTCAGTGTTCGAGAGACTAACTTTTATATGCTTTTGTGCAGGATACATAGTCGGCACAGCTTCTTTATCACACAGAGTGGGTGGACTCTATTGCCTTTTCTGTCTCTATGAGACTCAACCATGCAAACCTCCATTCAGGATTTATATATCTCTTGGTATGTATGTAGATTTTACTCTGAACAATTGAATGCTATGTAAAGTTAGCTTTATCCCGAGTTTGGTTTATTTCGAAAAACACACCACCATATTAAACGGCACTACTTTATAATTTAATATTCGAAACATAGACAAGAAAGCATTATTTTGAGTGAGCATATGTTTCTATATGCCTTGTATGTCCCATATAAATTTGAGAAGGTTGGTTATCAGTTCATTATCAGTTACAAACTGAAGGTATTTCTATTACCATTTTCAGAAGAGCTGAAGAAACTTCGAAAGCTTGTTATTGACACAAAGGAAAACCAAATAAAAGTGGTATCTTCCTTGGTAAGAAAAATGCTAGAAAAGAATACTTTCCTGTTTGGGTTCGTGGATACAAACGAAGAGTCTTTTGCAGAGACAGTAAACCAACTGACACAATTACAGGATGCTCGAGTTCAAGTTGCCTACAAGGAGTAAGTACAAAGATATGTTTTCCTCTACACCTACATTAACAAATATATGTTGTGACATTTATAAACCACTCGATATTTACTTACCGGTTATTTTCTTTCGTTTCGACTAATAGGTTATTTGCTAATACTAAGATTGAGGACTTTCTCCACATGGACTTGGTAAGTTAAAACAATCCTCAACTTTTCTCCTGTCGATTCGGTGATAACATGTTTTACATAACACAAATTGCAATTCATTTGCAGTTCCTTTGAAATTGCTTCCGGTGTCTAAAGTCCAATTTTTTCTCACATATACCAGGGAATGGAAGTTGACCTGAATACACTTAAGCAAATGTCAACAGAGTATGCAGAGGCCAAGAAATAGCAATTACGGGTACCTTTTCTCCCGCTAACCTCCCCACCTCATTTATTTCACTACTCCTGCCTGTAGTATAAATCCATTTGCACCAACGCTAGTTTCTCGCATGCTTTTTGCCATTGTAGTTGCTACCATTTAATAGTTTCTTTATTTTCTCTCCTTCAAATTGAATTATTGTTAAAGAGGCCAGCAAGGTTGTGGACGTTGGAGATATAAAGCACATTGCAGAAGGTAAGGAACTGGTTGGAGATGTAGCGGAGAAGATGGTTGGGCAATGGGATTCTCAAAGAGAAGTCTTTTATCAACAAACAGGGGTAAACCAGCAACAGCTGCAACTGATGAGTGACAATGACAATGACGACTTTGATAAGGAACTGGAACAACTGCTATCTGGAGCAGATTATACAAGCAGTTGAAATTGGAATCATTGGATTAATCAAAGGTACGCAAGCAATACCACTTGAAGCACTAAAGATATTCTGTAAACACTAATTTGAGCTTCAGACGTGTGGAATATATTCGATTGGTGGAAGCGTTACTGAGAGTTTCTTTTCCATCTATACAGCGACATGAGGAACCTTGTCAAGTTTCTGTGAAGGTATTTATTCTCGTGAGAAATTCTGCTCCAACGGCTGGGACCATATGTGGGAAATTCACTAAACAAAACAAAAATGACAGGATAGAGAGCTCAAAATCCATCCAATCCCCCATCCGTAAAGGCCATATGTATATCATCATATACAGCATACTGACAAACAATGGTGATTTTGATATTTCAGAGTCTCCATTCACGCGTCACTGCAAAACTGATGTCAATTGTAACCGTCAGTTTGCCCAACATTTATATTGTTCAAGCCTCAGTTCGTGTGTAGTTTTACTTTCCAGAGAGATCGACGGCATCCAAATGTATTGTATCACTCTCACATACATACATATTTGATTCTTTTGGCGAAATTAAGATTTATGAATTTTATGATTCTAGGTTATATATGTTTGGATGAGAGATTCCAAGTTTTATGATCCTAGGTTATATATGTCGAGATATGCATGGCATGCATTACATCAAATATTTAGTGGGTACAAAAGGGACTTGTACCAAACATTCGGAGGGTTCTTGAAAGACCTTCACATATATATTTTCCGAACTCAGAGTGGTACTAAGACCACCTTGGTCCCTATACTTCCATCTGCCCCCATAAATTTTAGTAGGAAATACTATCAAGTCTGAAGCTAACACCATGTGCAAGTAAAGCGGAAAGATATTGAGCCACCGTCATACTTTGTACTACAAAACACGCTGTTATTAATTTAGATGTTACAAGTGATGTGCATGTTAATACTCACATTTTAGACCTATTGTAAAATCATAGTTAGTAAAATGTGGGATGGGTGAAATATTTTGAAAATTTTGGCCATTATTTAAAAGAGACCCTCTTCTCGAGAATGTAGGTTAAAGACGCCCTCTTCATATTTGTCATTCTAAATATTGTTACTGGTTGTTGGATTATTTTAGTGGATATCTTGTAGTTCTGTTAGACTGATACCCGTTATGTATGCATAAGTTAAGAAAACAAGGTGCAGTGTCAGTCTCAAACTATTAACTAGGCTAGGCTAAACAAGTGTATAAGAAACTAACTAGTTTGACACATTATATCGTAGCGAAGCAACTAGCTAATATTTTTTTTAAAGAACTTTATGAGGACTTCCTATCAATGTGAGTATTGGAGATTAGCTAGCAAGATATTTAATTAAGCCTTCTTTTATTGGTGGTTTAATTTTTTATGATATTTCCATGCCAATCCGGGATTGTGGTCCAATACCACTGATCCTCCTGTTTTATAGTCGTTACGTATTTTTCGAAGTTATTTTATTAATAAAGAACGATGACAAATGCCACCAGTTTTCTTCTAAAGAAGCAAGATGAGATTATGAAAGGTGACAAAGTCAACGGTCAATATTAAATACGAGTGTGCAAGAAACAAACGATAATGTATGCTTATTATTTATCTATGCAATATTGTATGCAAAGAATATTTCTCAAAACCCTTTTTTCTTGTTAAATTCGTTTTAAAGAAAAATCACAGATCAAACTGTTATTTCAAACTATATATTAACATTGCCAGTTTGCCAGCCTTTGTTTTTTTTCGTTTCTATACTTCAACTTTTGAAGTATTTTCTTCTTAACATTAGTAGTTGTCGTGAAGCTACAGTAATTGTATATTTAACAACAAAACAATGAATCTAATTGGGGAGTATAGTCTTAAGTCTTACACTTTTTTTTTCTTCGAAAGAGAGTACTAGTCTTACCCGCCAGCAGTACCTAGTATCAATACGCAGCCTGTAAAACCAGGGACTACCTTCCTAACAAATGAAATCAATGGTTTTGGTTTTGCCTGTAGCATATCACATATCATATATAGTTGACCATCAACAAATTATCTATTAATTAATTCAGCCTCCACTTTCCCCAGCATATGGCAATGGCAGGCATGTATAAATATCCACACAAGGTCGCTTTATCTCCAACCACAAACAAATTTGAAACTGTTTTTACAAAAAGCTTTAAGAGTTTCAATTTCATCAAGTTTATTGCTGCATTGCTAAGCAAGAATGTCTAATACTGCTGGTCAGGTCATACGCTGCAGAGGTAAATTTCCTTTTTGTTTCTGATATTATTTATTGAGTAAAGGGTTTCTTAATTAATTTTTGGTTCATTTATTCTGTTATTATTTCTGGTTTCTGTAGCTGCTGTAGCTTGGGAAGCAGGGAAGCCGCTGGTGATTGAAGAAGTCGAGGTGGCACCACCACAAGCAAATGAAGTCCGTTTGAAGATCCTTTTCACCTCTTTGTGCCACACTGATGTCTACTTTTGGGAAGCCAAGGTATGACATTGTTTTGAGAAATTCGTCGGAATGACCAGTTTTTGAGTTTCAATTATTGGATTGATCAAAATCAAATATTGACGCGATCAAATATTGACGATGTAACGAAACTGATCATTTCAGTAATTTAGATTTGAAAAATGATCCATTGATTTTCTTTTTACTCAGCAGCATATTTCATTTTATTGATTCAGATTCACATATTTACAACACCAAATTTAAAATGTGTCTTCTATATTGCAGGGACAAAACCCTTTATTTCCTAGAATTTATGGTCATGAGGCAGGAGGGTATGTACATTCTTATCGTCTTGTTACTGAATTAGTAAAACATAGGCAATTATAATTTATATATGTACAGTTATCATGAATTATGTTCATGTGGTTGATCGATAAATGTTGTGACCAATGTTTCAGGATTGTGGAGAGTGTTGGTGAGGGCGTGACGGATCTGAAAGCCGGTGATCATGTCCTGCCGGTGTTCACAGGGGAATGCAAGGACTGCGCTCACTGCAAATCAGAAGAGAGCAACATGTGCGACCTCCTCAGGATAAACACTGACAGGGGAGTGATGCTCAATGATGGCAAATCAAGATTTTCAATCAAAGGCAAGCCTATCTATCACTTTGTTGGGACTTCCACCTTCAGTGAGTACACTGTTGTTCATGTTGGCTGCCTTGCCAAGATCAACCCCTCGGCTCCTCTAGACAAAGTCTGTGTCCTCAGTTGTGGAATATCCACAGGTAAATTTTTGTATTACTGTAGAGCCAGATTGTTCGACACATACACTTGTGTAATTGACATTATTTTCTTATTCAATTTTTTTTTTTTAACGTGTGTTGCTTAGGTCTCGGAGCTACTCTAAATGTTGCAAAACCGAAAAAGGGATCAACCGTGGCTGTTTTCGGATTAGGAGCTGTAGGCCTTGCAGTGAGTCTCTCAGTCACTTACACTTGCTTGCTCACTTGTTTATGTATGATGAAAAATGTGTGTCTAAGTTGATCCTTCTGTTTTTAGGCTGCCGAAGGAGCCAGGATGTCTGGCGCTTCAAGAATTATCGGCGTCGATTTGAATTCGAGCAGATTTGAAGAAGGTAACATGCATAATTTCTTTAATCTCTCCAAAAGGAAAACAATGCATTGGAAATGTGTCTTTATGCTCATTTTTTCATATTTTGTGTTGATGACAAATATTCGCGAGACCTCTCTGAATTTTAACTTGGTTGTTTGCAGCGAAAAAGTTTGGCGTGACGGAATTTGTGAACCCAAAAGAGCACAAAAAACCCGTTCAAGAGGTGATAGCCGAGCTGACGAATGGAGGAGTGGACAGAAGCATTGAATGCACAGGAAATGTTGAAGCCATGATATCTGCGTTTGAGTGCGTCCATGATGTAATACAATTGCCTCTTATCTGCCTCCATTTTCTGAATCCCTCTTTCAAATTTTGATGCGTGATCTTGTTACTAACAAGGTAAACGCATAATTAAACTGCTATTTCAGGGTTGGGGTGTGGCAGTTCTTGTGGGAGTACCACACAAAGAAGCCGTCTTCAAGACGCATCCGGTGAACTTTCTGAACGAGAGGACTCTCAAGGGCACCTTCTTCGGGAACTACAAGCCTCGAACGGACATTCCCTCTGTCGTGGAGAAGTACATGAACAAGGTAAAAGCTAATTTTGATGATTCATGCTCTATTTCGATATTTGTTTTCCAAATTTTAATTGAACAGTGAGACTGAATAATTAAATTAATGGTTGCAGGAACTGGAGCTAGAAAAATTCATCACCCACAGAGTCCCATTCTCAGAAATAAACAAGGCGTTTGAGTACATGCTTAAAGGGGAAGGTCTTCGTTGCATAATCAACATGGAGGAATGAAACTAAAACGTCATCTTTTGCTGTTTTGCTTTGTTAAATTCTAAATTTTCAACTTCGTCTTTCGGGTTTCTTTGTTTTCTCAAGCTTGATCTGCTTGTAATGTACATGTGAATACTTTGTTTTCATACCGTATGCATAATGTCTAGCTTCTGTAATCTGAGTTTACTATCTACACCCACCACAAATAGAATCAACCATCATAAACATAACAGACGATCAGAGAGAGAGAGAGAGCGCACTCAAGAACCTTTGCTTCCCAAAACGAAAAATATTACAAAACTCAATGATAATTTACATGTTGAAATTTTATTCCTTCGCTCCAAATTACGATTGAGCAAGTTTCGACAAAATAGCCAAGTCTAATATCTTAACATCAAGAGTGTCATCTACCTTCACAATTCCGTCTGTGCCATCAACACCAATCAGCTTACCGGTCGCTCCTCGTAGTGACCCGCCCATGATCTTTATCTTATCACTTTTCTTCGGTACCACTGCCTCCATTTCATTAGGAAGTGCCACTATAGTTTCCCCATTGCCACCCGACCCAATAGCTACCCTACACGAGCCATCCTGAACCACAAAACATTGTACTCAGTATCTCCTATAATTACACAGGTACTTGAACAGTATTTCTATTAGTAACTATTCCGATGATAAACATCGGAACAAGATCATCCTAGCATCAGAAACATCAACTACAATATGATAGATATAGCAGCACATTGCCCCAGCACCATCATTCATAATTTCCATAGTTCCTTTATCCTCCAACAAAACCCGGGCAGTTGATAGATAACATATGAAGGGACATCCGAAACAACAAACCAAAACAGTTTCATAGACTACTCTTTATATCTCAACAAGATTTAGAAGTGAACGTAAAACCACTTAGATAATAGTTTGTAGAAATCACCAAAACCCGTAATGTACATTTCCTTTGCACGTCCAAATATCATTATACTTGGTAAACATCATAAAAATTCAAACATTTGGAGCATAGTTTAATGACATACCGGAAGCACTTCTCTCACAACTCCAGTAGTTTCCTCTCCAGAATTGCGGACATTGACCAATATGTCTGGGAGGAACCACGGTCCTTCACTGTCCCCACCTGCTAGAAGATGTAAGATTAGAACTCAAAAGAGGGGTATAGAACTCTAGCAAAGCCAAGAACTTACATATAAACGTGTGTGATAAATACATTCACAAACATGGGAGTCTTTCATTTCCGTACCCCAAGATTGGACATACGAATTACATT